GGCACTGGATGGGGCGGGGCTTGCTGCGACGTCATGTGAAAAACTTTGTAAAGGAGCCGGACTGGGGCCGGACGGAGGTAGGATAGTGTCCTCCTAAAGCCCCGTGTGAAAACGTCCTGTGTATGGAATTTAGTATCCTGCAAAATAAAGTGCCCCAGTTGTGTCAAGAGGCTGCACATGTAGAGGACAGGATCCTCTTCAGATTGCTGTTCTTCACTGTGGACAATGATGACAGGGGTTCTTCCCTCCTTGTGTATTGAATTTAACCCTTTTAGTGAAAGCCTGATTAGACAGTTATCAAACAGCTCATACAGCTAGAAATTTATTTTTATCCAAATCAGCAAAATTCCTACAATACTTCAGTCCTTTTATGGCAATCTATTTCCTATTGTCTCACCAAACGAGGTAGAACCTAAAGTTTACTATAAGATGCATATGTAAGAATATAAATTTCACACAACAATTATGCCTGAAAAGGGGAATGATTTTTAGCCTGAAAAGAGGGAAGATTATGTGGTCATCCAGTTGCTGTTTAACTGCAGTTCCCATCATCCATCATTGGCTATACTGAATAGGGCTGCTGAGTGCTGAAGTTCAAGGATATCGATGTCTGCATAACTCCCATCCCTCATCTGAAAGCAAAACTGAAAGTGCAAGCATAACACATTTATGTCATCATTCAGTAGTGCAAGTCTGACCACAAATTATTGTTGTTTTAAAAAGCATGTCCAAAATAATCCAGGATAATTTTGACATGCTGTTGACAGTACTGCAGGAATCAGGCACATGTGTGGATTTTCTGCAGAACCCTGTTAGAATGGACTCATGCAAGAGAACTCAGAATACACCGTGTCCTTCATATTTTGTACAAGCTTGGTGCATGTGGATTATGAATTAAGGAGTCCCAGTACTTTTGAGGTTTATGGACAAGTACATACTCTGGAGCATATCTGGGATAGGGATAGGCAGAAGTTTTGAGGGTGAAAAGGCAGGCCGGGGAAGTTCTTTTGCTTCAGTGGAAGTTCACTGAGACAATTCTGGACACTATTCAATGGGACTAACACTGAAGGAAAGACAAGCAGAATTGGGCTGCAAGACACTAAATACTATAAATCAGTTGGACAGGACACAACAAATGCCTTTCTAATGGAGTTTTCACATGCAAATTCTTCTGCCAGCTTTCAGTCTACTGCAGTTGTATACATAGTTTGCTCAGTAGAAAGTATTCAAAACTATGAGCAATGATATTAAAACAAACAATACACACATCACAAGAATTTAATTCATAGTTTCCCAGCCCTGCACAAATACAATATTTGTGATGGCTTTTGCTAGAATGGAAACATGCAGTATTACAATATGGTACCTTTCTTGCTCAAGCAAGACTTACTTCTATAACCCACCCATATTTCCCTGAAGTCATGAGCACATGCCCTATTCTGCTGAGTAGGCTGAGAAATTGTTTTGACATTTAGAAACATGGGATTGGCCAGTTCATTTATTCTTTAACACTTCTGAGACTTTTAGCTAGGTCATCTGAGCCTTGCATACCATTTTCACAGTCTGCTTAGAGTATGGGTGAGAATCATGCAGTCATCTTGATACTGTTGTACCACAAGTCTCAGCATCTCTAGACAACTCAGCCAATGGTGTTGAGGAAAACCAGGCATTACAGTCCAATGATAGCTGTAGATTTATGATTCCCACCTTAGGATGCAAAAGCTGTTGTTCGCCCCAGGGTTACAAGGTTGTAACAAAGGGGGGAAAACAGAAGGGCTGGAAGGGGCAGCTTGAAGATGGATTAAGGCCACATCAACCACACGCTGCGACCCCAATCCATCTTGAAGCAGTGTGCCACATCTTCTGGGTGGCTTCAAGGTGTCAACAGAGCATGCACCAAGTAAACACTGTACTCCAATGACTTCCTGAAGGCATCTGTTCTGACCCAAACTCACCTTGCACTTTTAAGAAAGAAAACAGAAAATCTAGAGGCATTCATAGGCTAACACATGGAAGATAAAACTGAATTATTTAGAACAAGTAACACAGAACATACAATAGGGTGAAATGTATCTATAATTTCTTAAAGAGGCTTCCAACCCCCCACCACATTTTTTTTTAAAAAGTAAAGAAATACAGCATGCTAAGTTACACATACAAGGTCATCAAAGTAAAGCAACATTTTTCAGAGTTAAGAGGGGGGCCATTTGACTGTTCAAATGAAGGCAGCACCATATTAAAGTCTCTCCACAAGTAGATGTTTCAACAGGCTGAAGTAGCAGAGTTCATTATCTGTACACAATTGCATTTCAAATTCTGTTTTATTTTGTTCAAAAACATATATCTTTTTGTCTATTTTAAATCTCAGGCTAACATAGGACTTTATCACATGGGGAAAATCCTGTGCAGAAATGAGGTTTTAAATAGAAAAAAACAAAAAACCACAAAAGCAGGTAGATTTTCAGATGACGTCGCTTTTAAAGTGTGCTTAACCCGAATGGAAAGTAGTCAAAAGTCGCTTCTTTTTACTTTTGGAAAATCCTGAAATTAAAAAGGAGCAGCTTTTGGCTACTTTCTGTTTGGGTTAAGCACACTTTAACAACAATATGTGTGAAAATCTACCCGCTTTTGCGGGTTTTCCCCATTTTTAAAATCCCGTTTCTGCACAGGATTTCCCCCATATGATAAGGTGCTTAGACTCCACTGGAATTCACCCAACCTATCACAAACCTTTTCAGCTGGAATATGTGATTATTGCAGCCAGTGGTGTTACTGACCCGTGTGTGGGGCAGGACTCCTGAGATGGGGCCAAAAAGGCACACCCTTTAACCTTGCTTTGGGTGCCATTTTACTCATGAGTAAACTGGTGCCTGGCAGAGAGAGGGGGAACTGGGCACTCTCCCTCCCTAGCAGGCACCGTTTTGCACATGAGTAAACCATTGTCCAGCAGGGGGTGGGGCGGTGCTCTCTCCCCTCCCTTTCAGTGGTATCCCTACACTGGGTGTAACCCAGTGTGGGCAGCAGGGCCTCCGGGGAAGCAGTGCATGCTCCTTTCCTTCATGCTTTCCCATCCTCTTCCTGATGAGGAAAAGGATGGGACGGTGTGGGACGGGGAAGTGGGAACACATGTGAGGGAGTGTGAGGACAGCATGGAGATGGGAGCACATGTGAGGATGATACAGGGGGAGCATGTGGGGAAGGCTTGACTGGGTGTCACCCTCTTTCTGTGGTGTCACCCAGTGCAGATTGCACCACTGCACTCCCCCTAGTGATGCCACTGATTGGAGCTAGTTGCTGACTTTCATTTTGGTGA